TGCTGTCTACCAACCTACTACTGTGTCAATTCCATTTTGTAATTGATTCCCCATAATTTAATCCCACCCCTCTCCCCAACATTCCAGCATTTACTTCCTTTACAAACCCATCTTTCTTTCAACAAACCGGCCGTATCCCACTGAGGCGGGGTGGCCCAAAAGGAAAAACGAAAGTTTCTCCTTTTACATTTAGTAATATATACAAGAGAAGAGGTTACTAGCCCCTTGCTCCCGGCATTTTAGTTGCCTCTTACAACATGCATGGCTTACGGAGGAAGAATTCTGTTCCACTTCCCCATGGAGGTAAGAGGAAATAAACAAGAACTAGAAAGAAAATACAAGAAAACCCAGATGGGTGTTTATATATATGTTTGTACATGTATGTGAAGTGTGACCTAAGTGTAAGTAGAAGTAGCAAGACATACCTGAAATCTTGCATGTTTATGAGACAGAAAAAATAACACCAGCAATTGTACCATCATGTAAAACAATTACAGAAAAAATGACACCAGCAATCCTACCATCATGTAAAACAATTACAGGCTTCCGTTTTACACTCACTTGGCAGGACGGTAGTACCTCCCTGGGCAGTTGCTGTCTACCAACCTACTACCTAGGACAACCCCATCTGTAAATATATTAAACAACCATGGTGATATTACACATACCTGTCTAAGACCTACTTTTACTGGGAAGTAGTCTCCCTCTCTTCTACACACCCTAACCTGAGCCTCACTATCCTCATAAAAACTCTTTACAGCATTTAGTAACTTACTACCTATTCCATATACCTGCAGCATCTGCCATATTGCCTCCCCTATCCACTCTATCATATGCCTTTTTTAAATCCAGAAATGCAATGAAAACTTCCCTACCTTTATCTAATACTGTTCACATATATGCTTCAGTGTAAACACTTGATCAACAATTAATAATTATTGTTAATTATTATTATTATTACCATCGACATTCCTTGTTCACTGAATTAATTCATTTCTAACACTTACCCTTAGATGCCACTAGAGATGCCGAGAATGTAAACATACAGATGAACACTCCAGCTAACCCCTTTACAGTGAACTACTTACGTATATCATCCATTTTCCTCTTGTGTTTTCTCTTCCAAGTGCTGCTGCACTTCTCTTTTTTGTACTATGGGGTGCACAATAAAGTAGAAATTTGTACAAAGCTAGTACAGTGGAACTTCAAATTTCGAATGTATCACTTATCGAACATTTCAAAAATAGAACCCTTTTCTCGAACCAACTTTGTCCCTATTATCGAACGTGCCCCTATTTTCGGACTGCCGGGTACTGGACCTGTCCACCAGCCCGCTCTGTCTGCGTCACCGTGCAGGCGCCGTGAGCCAGTCTGACTTTGTTGATGCTTGAGTGAACACTAACCTGCACTCTCATTCAAACATTTTACGATTATTTCATTGTGTTTAGTGCTTGTGGGACTGTGAAACAAGCTACCATGGGTAAAGAAAGTGAGAAACACCATAGATGTGAAGAAGGAAATACTACAGAAGTATGAGAGTGGTGTGAGACTTGTTGAGCTTGCCAGGATGTATGGGAAAAGCAAGTCAACCATCGGTTCTATCCTGGCAAAGAAAGAACAAATCAAGGAAGCTGATGTTGCAAAAGGTGTTAATGTGCTAACCAAAAAAAGACCACAAATAGTTGAAGAGGTTGAGAAGTTGTTGCTGGTGTGGATCAAGGATAAAGAGATGGCAGGTGATAGTGTTTCAGAGACGATTATTTGCGAAAAGGCAAGGAAGTTGCATGCCGATCTGGTACAGAAAACTCCTGGAACTAGTTCAATGACAGAACCATGTCCCATTTTAAGGAAATGTTAAAGAGGTGCCAGAAACAGAGGACTGTGGACAGTTATTTTGTGAGACAGGGTTCGAGTGACTCAATCTGGTCCTAGTGGCATTAACCCATAAACGGTCCAAATGTACATATACATTTTTTCAACATTTGAAAGTATGTAAAGAAAGTAGATCTTTTTGTTCTTCTACATTTGAAAATGTGTAAAAAACTCTGATCTACTTTTTTTTTTGTTATATTTGAAAATGTGTAAAAAAATTTTAGATCTACTTTTGTAGCACTACACATGTGAACGTAGATCTGCTTGGACCGTTTACGGGTTAAAAGACAGAGAAGGGAAGTAACCCCAGAGAGGGCTTTACATGAAGTCCTCATGGAGGGGGATTCTCCTTCCAAACACTAACCCCAACTCCCTCTCTCCTCCTTCCTATCTTCCAGATGCCATCACCAATCTTCAATGAAGGTAAGTAAAAATGTTATTTTATATTTATATACATAATTGAACACTATAGTATTTGTTGTGTGTATGTAAAACTGTAATTAATCTCTATAAAATGTATTTTTTTGTGAATGTTTTTGGGTTTCTAGAACGGATTAATTGTAGTTCCATTATTTCTTATGGGAAATATTGCTTCGATTTTCAGACTTTTCGAATTTAGAACTAGCTCCTGGAACGGATTAAGTTCGATATTTGAGGTTCCACTGTATACTGAGTGGCTACAGGAAGGAGATTGAGATGCAGTGTCCCATCTAGGGAATTGGATCTGTGCTCCGGTTCCCTGAATTAATCCTGAATACCCTCCACATCCCCCCCACAGGCTCTGTATAATCCTACAGGTTTAGCGCTTCCCCCTTGTTTATTATAATAATGAGATGCCGTGCTACCCACTTCCATGACCCAATTTCTCGTACGGCACACAATACTGACTGGTTGGAGAGCCAGTCTTAACTGCAAGCTGTCGGTAAAGAAGTGTGTCTCTAAGTGAGGAGTACCTGTAGAACACATCTCCACTGCCTGCAGCCTTCTCCTCACTGTAACATGGCTTCACACCCATAAAAGAGTGTTGGTACCACTATACTCTCATACATTCCCTGCTTTGCCTCCATGGATAATGTTCTTTTTCTCCACAGATGCCTCATTGCACTACCCACCTTTTTCCCTTCATCAGTTCTATGGTTCCCCTCATCTTTCATATACCCATATGCTGACAAATCCACTCCCAAATATCTAGACACATTCACTTCCTCCATTCTCATCTATTTGTTCTCATTATTTGTGACCGCAGGGGAAGAGTAAGACACATGTACATTAGTTATACTTTTTGATGTTCTCCAACATAAACAGGCCTCTGCTGTCTCTCTTCAGCTCTGTATCCTCCTCATCTATGTATCTAGACTGGTACAGCCTCTTGCAGGCTGCCATAACCTCCTAATTCATAGGTTGGATCAGAGAAGTGGTATTAGTGGATAGAAATATGGCTTTAATTTTATCATTTGTGCTGCTTAAATTTTCAACCCTAGAGTGAGGTGTGTTATCAGGCAGCAGAATGACATCCTCAGGATCTGGTTTAAGGACCTCTAGCTGGTACTGTGTGCTTCATGGACGAAATGTGTAAAAAAAAAAAATAGTCATGAAATACATCCCTGTCACACCACCCTTTCTTACTGGCAGTTTATTCATGTAATCTTTTAAAGCCTGTACTAGACAAATGTCAGAGTTAGCAGACTTGGCCCAATACTTCAGATGACAGTTGGACACTATTCCTATGGACAAAATGCAGAATTGCTTACTCTGTCCATTTTGTCCAATAATGAGAGCATTTGTCTGAAATTTCTGAAATCCATTAACCCTTTCTCTGTTCAAATCCCCAATCTGAAACTTGTCAACAATGTACAAAAATTTTAAAAAGAAATTTGTTATTTTTTCTTATAAAATGGTAGAGAATCTTTTTCTGAAGGTAATAAAAAAAAGTACAAAAATTAATGGAAAATTTATGAAATTACACTTAGTGAATTTTGCTGTGTCAGCAATATTTATGCATCAGCAATTTTGCCCACATTTGAGTGCTATTTTAGGCCAATTATATTGTTCTGGTCAACCAAATTCTTAGCTATTTCACTAGTATGTCTTCCATTTTAACAATTGACCACAAGAAATCGTCCACTTAACTATTTCAACTACCCAATAAAGTGATCAGAAATTCGTAATTTGGCCAATTTCACACAAATTTCAAAATAGGGTTTAGAGCAAACAGTGCAGGCATCCCTGGCACTAAAATAACATTTCCTTTGTTCATTAGTTATGTTCCCAGGCTTTCCACATGAATTCCATTTTGATTTTTTATTCACACAAGAAATAGAAGATTTACTGTTATGCAAAATTGTAATAATTGTATAAATAATATCAGTGCATTTGGGAACACAGACCCACATTTCTGCTACTTTGAGCTCAATTTCAAGCTATTTTCAGTCCTAAAAGCAATAAAAAAAATCATCTCTATGTCTGTAATATATCTTTCATTCTATTAAATGAGGCCAGGAAACTAGGAATACAACCATAAAAACCATATGAAAATACACTGCAAATTTGCTGTTCTAAACCAAAAATGCTGTTGAAGTTTTTTTTATTATACATTGTGTGCTGCGGGATTTTTTTATATGGTGCACATTATCACTTAGACTCATTCTTTCATATCTAGGTCCAAATTTACTACTCACAACTTATCTGAGTGAACTAAGCTCATGGCATAGTACTATGGCACTGGCAGTGACCTCAATGCCATAATACTATGGCACAGTCTTTAATGTTGATTGATTTCAGATTGAACTTAGCTACTCAGTCATTCAGACCTGCATTTATTTCAGTAATTTACTTATTATCATCCCACTAAAGGACACACAATTAGTGGGAACACTTTGCATTGTTATTTTCTGTGTGTGTTGTAAACTTCAGATTTCAAGAGAAGTTTACTGATCAAAAGGGACGAACAGTTGTAGGGCAGAATCTTAATTCTTGATGAATTTGTATTACTTATTGGATAGCAGTTTCAAAGTGATAATGGTATATGACTAGAACTATGTGCAGCATGAGTTTATGCATCAGAAATCACTTTTATCATGTTTTCATTATTATTTTAATGTTACAGAAATGAATGTGATATTTTTCAGGCAGCTGCCTTAAATACTGAAGGAAGAAGGATGTCCAGAAGTTTGTCTCGAGAATTAGATTGTAAGTTGCAGGATTCTGGGAAAAATTCTCATGGTGAGTTACTCTTAGCTATCCTCACAGATGGAAGTCAGTTTTCAAAAGTAACTATAAAATCAAATTTTTATTTGTATGTCTTTTGAAGAACTTTTTTTCATAATTATTATAAACACTTTTTTTAATAACTTCTGATTTTCATCATGGAGTTGCATACAAGTACTTTCATAGATGATGATTGGTTAGGATAGAGACTGCATAATTACCTTAGAACATTTAAATTTTGATTTTCACATACCAAAGCTAATGTAATTACCTATTTTCCCTATTTGTCATTACCTACTCACATTTGTTGTAATTGAGCTCCAAGTTTTGAGCCCCTCTCTCTAACCTTTTGTTTGCTGCTTTGAATTACATCTGAAAATTCATATTTACATTTGACTCACTGTATGGTTTCTGCTTCTACTGTGTCATTCTCTCAATCAATCCACTCTTTAATGCAGTAAGACCCTAACTGACAGTGCTTGACGTTTTACGTTTCACACTTTGGAACTAATTCATTACAGTAGACTGTCAATTAACACAAAGAACTTATGGGAAAAATGGTGTTATGTTCCTTGGACCCCCAAAAATGGCAAACAAACTTTTTTTGTTGCTTAGGCCTCCATATTGTAAAAAAAATAAAAATGGTAATGTAATTGTAGTTCATTGTTGTGATGTATTTTGTTGACTGCATTCCTTTAAAGCTACAAATGTTAGATACAATATTTCTTACCATATATTATGGTTGCTGGTATATGTTGATCATCACTAATCCGGCATCATTGGGACCTGTAGGGTGCCGGATTACAGAGTAGTTATGTTAGAATACACTTAACCCAATGGTGATATTTACGCATCGGCGATTTTACCCACTTTACACCCTATTTTGGGCCCATTCTATTGTTCCGGTCAACCAGACTCGTAGCTATTTTGCTAGTATTCCTTCTATTTTTGCCGATTGAGTACAAGAAACCGCCCATATACCTATTTTAACCCTTTGAGGGTTGAGACCCTTGATCCTGGACTCCCACTGGGGAGTCCAGGATTAAGGGTCCATGTACACAATATCATATTCAGGATCGAGCCCCCCCCCCCCCTCCCCCATTATTTTTTTTCTTATGAGAAGATAGAGAATCTTTTCCCAATGGTAATGGCACCAAAAGTATGAAATTTGATGGAAAACTTAAAGAATTATGCTCTCACGAAGTTAACGGTTTCAACGATGTTTGCTCATTGGCGATTTCACCCACTTTGAGCCCTATTTTCGGCAAATTCCAATGTTCTATAGATTGGGTACAAGAAACTGCCCATTTACTGATTTCAACTACCCAATAAAGTGGTCAGAAATTGGCAGTTTGGCCAATTTCACACAAATTTCAAGATGCCAGTTTCAAACTAGGGTCCAGAATAAACAAGACAGACATTCCTGGCACAAAAATAACATTTTCTCTGTTCATTAGTCACATCTCCAGGCCCTTCTTAAATTACACTTGCTTTCCATTTTGAATTTTTATTCTCACAAAAAATAGAAGAGTTACTGTTATGCAGACTACTGCATTATTGTAAAAATGGTATAAATAATATCAGCGTACTTGTGAATGAATATTAGACTCGCCTGTTGACATGTATTGGATGCTTGGCGTGATTTGTTTACTCTTGAACATCAGCAAAAATCAAACATTTCTGCTATTTTGAGCTCAGTTTCAAGGTACGTTTCATTGTGAAGCCAATCAAAATCATCTCAACTTCTGTAATATATCTTCCATTCTTTCAAAATGAGACCAAGAAAACAAGAATACAACCATAAATACCATACAAAAATACACTGCAAAGTCATTGTTTTAAATAAAAAACACGAAGTTTTTGTTTTCTCATTATGCACTGCATGCTGCAGGATTTTTTTATACTGTGTGCACTGATCCAGGCCCCTCTTTTATTACGCTTGCTTTCCATTTTGAGTTTTTATTCACACAAATAATAGAAGAGTTACTGTTAGGCAGACTACTGCATTATTATAGTAAATTGTATAAATAATGACTGCGTATTAGACCGGCCAGTTGGGCACATGTGGGATGGTGACATTTGTTTACTCTTGAACATCGGTAAAAATCAAATATTTCTGTTACTTTGAGCTCAGTTTCAAGGTACAGTGAAACCTTGTTTTTCGTTTTCTTTGGTTTTCGTCGAATTTGGTTTTCAATGACTTTTTTCGTCAAAATTTTGTCCCAGTTTTCGTTCATCACCTCGGTTTTTGTTAGTCTGCCATACCGAACGTATCTGCCTGCCTGCGCCCACACAAAGCATCCCATGCGTTCTCTGTCAGTCGGGCTTTGTTTCTCGTCAAGTGAGTATTACCTCGCATGTTCATCCGAAACATTTCATAATACAGTGGACCCTCAACCAGCGATATTAATCCTTTCCTGAGAGCTCATCGTTAGTCAAAATTATCGTTAGTCAAGTTAATTTTCCCCATAAGAAATAATGGAAATGAAATTAATCCGTGCAAGACACCCAAAAGTATTGAAAAAAAAAATTTTACCACATGAAATATTAATTTTAATACACACAAACTGAAGATTACATGCACAGTTACATGACACTTAACTTTATTGAAGATCTGGTGATGATTGATGGGATAGGAGGAGGGGAGAGGTGTTAGTGTTTAGAAGGGGAATCCCCTTCCATTAGCACTTGAGGCAGCAAGTCTTTTTCTGGGGTTACTTCCCTTGTTCTTTTAATGCCACTAGGACCAGCTTCAGAGTCACTGGACTTCTGTCGCACAACATATCTGTCCATAGATACCTGTACCTCTCATTCCTTTATGACTTTCCTAAAGTGGTTCACAACATTGTCAGTGTACAGGTTGCCAACATGGCTTGCAGTAGCTGTCAGGGTGATTTTCATCAAAAAAGGTTTGCACTTCAAGCCACTTTGCACACATTTCCTTTATCTTAGAAGTAGGCAACTTCTTCAATTTCTCTCTCCCCTCCTCCGAAGCAGTTTCCTCAGGTCTGCCCTCTTGCTGTTCAAGATGATCTAGCAGCTCATCAGTGGTTAGTTCTTCACTGTCCTCCACCACCAACTCTTCCACATCCTCCCCACTAACCTCCAACCCCAAGGACTTCCCCAATGCCACAATGGATTCCTCAACTTGCATAGGATTCTCAGGGTTAGCCTCAAACCCTTCAAAATCCCTTTTGTCTACACATTCTGGCCACAGTTTTTTCCAAGCAGAGTTCAATGTCCTCTTAGTCACTTCCTCCCAAGCCTTACCTATAATGTTTACACAATTGAGGATGATAAAATGATCTTTCCAAAACTCTCTTAGAGCCAGTTGAGTTTCTGAGGTCACTACAAAGCACCTTTCAAACATAACTTTTGTGTACAGTTTCTTGAAGTTGGAAATAACCTGCTGATCCATGGGCTGCAGGAGAGGAGTGGTATTAGAAGGCAAAAACTTCACCTTAATGAAGCTCATGTCCCTAGAAAGTCGCTCTGCCAAGTCTGAAGGATGACCAGGAGCATTGTCTAATACCAGGAGGCACTTAAGGTCTAATTTCTTTTCAATTAGGTAATTTTTCACATTGGGGGCAAATGCATGGTGTAACCAGTCATAGAAAAAGTCCCTAGTGACCCATGCCTTACTGTTTGCCCTCCACAGCACACAAATTAGCCTTGAGGACATTGTTTTTCCTGAACACTCTGGGAGCTTCAGAGTGATACACCAATAAAGGCTTCACTTTGCAATCACCACTAGCATTGGCACACATCAACAGAGTAAGCCTGTCTTTCATAGGCTTATGTCCTGGGAGTGCCTTTTCCTCCTGAGTAATGTACGTCCTGCTTGGCATTTTCTTCCAAAACAGGCCTGTTTCGTCACAATTAAACACTTGTTCAGGTTTCAGTCCTTCACTGTCTATGTACTCCTTGAATTCCTGCACATATTTTTCAGCCGCTTTGTGGTCCGAACTGGCAGCCTCACCATGCCTTATCACACTATGAATGCCACTACGCTTCTTAAATCTCTCAAACCAACCTTTGCTGGCCTTAAATTCACTCACATCACTAGTTGCTGGCATTTTTTAATTAAATCGTCATGCAACTTCCTAGCCTTTTCACATATGATCGCTTGAGAGATGCTGTCTCCTTCTATCTGTTTCTCATTTATCCACACCAATAACAGTCTTTCAACATCTTCTGTCACTTGCGATCTCAGTTTCGAAAACATAGTTGCACCTTTGGCAAGAACAGCTTCCTTGATTGCCGTTTTGTTGCCCACAATAGTAGCGATGGTTGATTGGGGTTTATTATACAACCTGACCAGCTCAGAGACACGCACTCCACTTTCATATTTAGCAATGATCTCTTTCTTCATCTCCATAGTAATTCTCACCCTTTTTGCTGTAGGGTTGGCACTAAAAGCTTTCTTGGGGCCCATGGTGACTTATTTTGCAGGTGCAATCACTACAAAGGCTGTGATAATATGAAATGTTCCAGTTGTTGTATGTTTGGAAGCGACTGCGGTGGCTGGCTGGCTTGTAAACACTGGCACCCAAGGGACAAGTGAGGCGCTCTCAGGCCAAAGTGAACGTGTATGGTACAGAACGAATAGCGCTGGTCGGGTTTTTAAGCGTTAGTTGAGGCAAAATTTTTGCGTTAAAATGTATCGCTAGTCTGATTTATCGTTAATCGATGCCATCGCTGGTCGCGGGTCCACTGTAATCCATTGTTTTTTCTGCTTGTTTATTGAGTGTGACTGCTAAATAAGCCACCATGGGGCCAAAGAAAGTTCCGAGTGCCAGCTCTTTGATAAAGAAGGCGAGAAACACAATAGAATTCAAGAAAGAACTCATAGCAAAGTACGGGGTTGGATGCAAGTGGCCAGGATGTGGAAGATTTGGAGGATGACCACAGGGAAAAGCTAACCACTGAAGAGCTGCAACACCTTCAACTGGAACAGCAACAGATTACAGCTGTGGAAATTGCTTCAGAGGAGGAGGAAGAAAGAGGGGAGAAAG